AGAATGTACGTTTCGCGACGAATGGAGGCGCATATATACCGATTCGCGATTGGAAAAAGTCGCTTCAGGTATTTCCCGGCTATACACGGGAATGTTAATGGTAATTCCTCAAAGAGTCCCGACCCCATCCTTCTATTTCGCAGCAGAATTTTTCGCGACAGTGGAACGTGTCACGTGTTATAAAATTCCCCCGTAAAAAAGTCGAAAATGGAATATTATCGAGTATTGTGTACGTATCATCTTTCTTTTTAAACCGAAGCTCTCACCGTGGCATCGAGTTTCTCCCTCGATGAGAGAAAAAAGGATATCCTTCCCTCTGAAAAGTGTATCACGCCCTCGGATGTATGGGCGCGGGCAACCGCATAAATATTTCTTTTAAAATGCATTTTGCGTAGCCCGAGAAACCCACGGGTATCGCGTTGTATCTATATGCATGTATACGCGAGCACCTATCCTCCATTGGATCATCCTGTTGTTTCGTCAAAGTCGTTACATCCGCGCCAGGCAGCGTATAATCCTTCGACAACGGGGACAAGCTCGCTGTTGTATGCATAACACCGTGAACTTGTCACAAGGTAGACGCGTCAAAAACCATTTTACCCGAGGTCCGACGGGGAAATCTAATCCAGCACGAAAAACGTATTTGTCCCGGTCGAGTATAAAAATATTTCCCTGTTTCGATGTAAAGGGAACCGCAAGTATGCGTATCTAGTTTACAACACCTTCTTCTTCTTTTTTTCCTTTTTTTTTTTTTTTTTGTTCGCGATCCCATTACCACGGTGGGAAAAAAGTATCCGCGATTCACAAAGGAAATTGTGCGTGAATCGTGCACGATGTGTACGAATTTTTACTTTTTTCACGGAATCAGGCTAGCTTTGGCGGATACGATAAAATTCACGGACTATTAACCGCGTGTACGTCCGACCCTTCGTACCTTGAAATATTCATCGGAACCACGTTCAATATTTAAAGGCTTTCAAATGCATGTTTTACCGCAATTACGTTAGCCACCTCTGTGTCTGGAAGCATGTCGTTGCAATTAGACACGTTTAAGCTAAAATTTTCCCTTTCCGTTGTTTCACAAATTAATTGTTACGACAAGTAACGATATTTTACATTTTCTACATGTGCGCACAGTGGTCACATTTTCCATTGCTCTTTTCATTTTCTTTTTTTTTTTATTATTTCTTTCTTTTTGTATTTTTCTCCCTCCCCTTTTATTTTTTCTTCTAACAATCGCGCACACCGTGGATTTATAATAATGGAAAATCGTTGATTTCGAAGAATGCTCGCTTCGCTTGAAACCAACATCGAACTATTTGTATGCTTCTCACGCTTTATATATATATATACGTAAAGATGCATATACACGTATGCAGTAACCATTGTACGTCTTGATCCACCTTCTTAACCACCAGAGGAGGAAACAAATTTTTCTGAGACGTGGATCGATGTCGGGCGACCATCTTAAGTGGATGACGCGGTCCAAAGGGCATCCAAAACGAATTTGTTCTGGCTTGTGATGGCACGAGCTAGCTCGATCGTCGTATATAACAATCAGGGCTTATCACGGTTCGTCGGTAAAAGGCTGACGAGGCGTGGGTCAATCCCAGCCTGGTCGATAAGGTCATCGAGCTGGCGAACACAGTCATTTCCCGACACCGACCAGGTACTTGGTAGAATTATCCTCGTTGACGAGCGGGTAGGGCTTAGTGGCCGTATTATGGGCTTGAAATTTCTTCCGGAAATTCGCCCAAGATGGACGAGAAACACGTTCCACGGGCCGTATCCCGAATAATATACCGAGTTGGACCGCCCCGATTTTTAACGAGCCTGATTAAAACTTGGTGTTCCTTGCAAGAACGAAATCTTCTCGATTCTAGATATGGCGAATATATAATTGAAAAGAAAATAGATAATTTTATTCTTCGAGATCGAAGAGACGTAACATAGGAACACGACGAAATCGTACGATCTTTGGATTTTTTATGTATCTTGGTGTGTTTAGATTTATTTGAAATTCGAATGATGCAATTAACGCAATATCTTTTACGAAAGTATCATCATTTTAAAAAGCGTCCTAAATTGAATCACAATTCGTTGTCGAAATTGCATGAAACGTGGAAAAAAAATCTAAATTTTAATTTATTTAAGACGTGGAAATCTAGTTTTCGATCCGTTTCTAGTTCTCTTCTTTTCCAGTGTTTTTCCAAAACACCGCAAAACCGAGCATCGTCCGCAATAAGCATTCTTATCGATCTCCACCTCGATGGTGTCGGTCTACAGCTTCTACAAGCTTTTGCTTGGTAATTGCGAAACAATTAAGAATACGGATATCACTAAACCGGTTTAATCAAGCTTCATAGAATTGGTTCGCCTCGATCCTTCCGAATAGCCTTCCATTAATCCGTTAATCCCGAAAAGTTAGCGAAAGGAAATTGTATTCGACTATTTCCTGTCTGGTACTTGATATTACGAAACGAGAACGTTTCTTACGTCGATTTCACCGGGGTGTTCTGTTCCCTAGTTGCGAGTTGAAAGAACAGGACGAGTATATATTTGCAAGGATGAATAAACGGATGCAGGGTGAATGACGATTCGAGCGAAGATAAAGTTTGAATAGCCTTTACCAGAATTGCCGTCTAAGTGCATTAAAACTTGAAACAGTTACCAACTGAGATTACGGGCGGGATGTCTCTTACACTTTCCAGGTTTTGATGCCGCCAACTTCTAATTCGTTAGCTTGGTTCGCGCATCAATCTTCGTCCTCGTTTTCGCTCTTCCCTTTCCCCTTTCCCTTCCGTTTCCTTATTCAAATCGATAGGAGCGAGAAATCCATCAAAAATGAAACTCGGGGCCAAGCCGAGGAATGGCGAGCGCAGTGTTGAACGAAGTTGAAACAGTGGCCGATGTCGGTCACGAAAGTTGAGGGAAGCATTAGCAAAATTTCCATTTAATTTTGCGTCCAACGGTTTCAAAATTACGTACGGGGCCGCGTTGAAGAGTTCCAGTCGGTTGGTGATTCTCGAGTCGGCGGCTCTGTTTTCCGATCGATCATCGTCACGGAATCATTTCATCCCCGTCCCCGTAAAGGATTGCTCGCATATCGACGAGGGTTGTAAAATGAGCGGAGTGACGCGGCCGGGGAGTTTCGAATTACCGATGTGTACGAGCGCAAGAGAAACAGAGCATGCTGGAGAATACAATTGATTCGCATCTGTGGAAAGTGCTCCTCTCCCGGATCTGTCTGGCCTACAACCGATCGCACGCGTCTCCAACCGGAATTAGGAGAGCGCGTCCTTTGTGCTACGTGGACATCGATATCTGTTAACGTCGTAGTAACGTGATTCGCTTCCTAGTCGCGATCTTGTTCCAAAGCTGAAACGTTGCACGCGCTCCGGTTACAACCATGGCTTGCCACCACCTAAAATCCCACCCAACCCTGAGAACGTTGGATCGATATTAATCATTGGAATTAATTATAATATATCGATCGAGTTTCTTTGAAAAATGAATGAAAAAAAAAGAATATACCTGATTTTCATATTCGTATATAACGTCTCTTCTATTCCTGTGTAAATACGTACGTGTTTCGTTGTGGCAACGGATGAGTGGAGGATGGAATCTTGCAGGAAATAATCCCATCACTATCGAAGACACGATTTGGAAACGATCCGTTCGATCCTGTTCCCGTTGACGAGACGATTCCGAATAGATTAGAGTCATCTTTCTGGAATAATGACGTCCAGATCTGGTAGCTGTTGGTACACGATATTAACGATTCAAATTTATCACGCTCGAATGCCGGTCGGTGATTGCGGGCCAAGGGTGATTCGCGCCTCCTTAAAATCGGGTCAACGGGAAATGGTTCCTTGAAAGAAAAAAAAAAAAAGAAAAAGAAAAGGAAAAGAAAAGAAAAGATAAAAAAAAAGAAACGAACGTAAAAATTTAGACAAATTTCCCCCTTTTTTTTTTTCTTTTTTTCTTATAATCGTACACGATTATAAGGCGAGATACGATTATACGATTATTCGTATATAGGATCGAATAGATTTCATCGGAATGCAAGCAGGATGATATAAATGTTTTAATTTTGGAATTCGGTCTTTGAATATATCGGCCGGAAGCTTAGTATTCCCCAACGGTGCAATATTCCGGGCAAGTCGAGCAGGAAGGTGAAATCACCTCTGGGAAGGTAATTCTCGTTGCATTCCAGCTCGGTATCGAACCACTCGATCAAGTGCGTTTGATGGTGTGTATGGTAAACATATAATCGAGTGCCGATTAAAACCGTCTTTAATCGGGGGATATACTTGCGATTCGTGTTCGCGAAATTTAGTTTCGATCACGTTCCCCGGCTATCGTCTAAACCGATTTCCCGATAAATAAATCATCCGGTTTGCATAATTTCGACGATGGAATCTTGGTAATGTAAAGGGGGAACGATACATCATCCCCTCGACGCAACCGCAAATTTTTTCCACCGCGGTAACGGATCGTTTGAGCATCCACTCTACGTCAATTAATGGGATCATAATTCTTGAATAGTTTCGATGCGGCGTAATAATCAATTAGTGCCGATTGAGAGGAGCGGTAATTTTAATGTGGCAAACAATGCCATTAGCATGCAGCTATTATCGGAGACCGAGGCTTGAACTGTGTCACGGCGAAATTATTCCCTATCTCTGGAGAAGTGGAGAAAAGAAGGGAGACTAAGGGAAGGAGAGAGAGAGAGAGAAAAAGGGGGAAGGGGGTTTGGAAACGAGAGAGAGAGAGATATACGAATGAAAATGCTTATGCGCCACGAACTCGTCGCGTTCCGTTAATATTTTTACTTCGACAAAGAGCCCCGGTTACATTACACGAGCGAATGAAAATATCGAGACTATTGTGTCGCGAAACAGTGTCGGGATATAATTCATTACTTACATCCATCTCCCATTTGGCTGGACCACGGATCTGTACAAAGATTAGAGAGACATCGGGACGATAAAAATGAAAAAGAAAGAAACAAAAAAATTTATTCGAGACATTCGAACCGAGCGGCGATATAAATGGTCTATTACCATTACGAATGCCGTGAATAATTGAATTTTTCTCTCGCCTTTCTCTCAGCTTTCAAAGTCGAGCATGGAATTTATATGAAAATTTTATTCAACCGTAAATGAGATTAACATTGTGCGACGTTCGTAACATATTTATATATATGTATATATGTATATATGTTATGTATACGTATGTACATATACAACAGACAGCGACTATATCATCGAACATCACATTAAATTATCCATCGCTTTAACTTACATAAATCAAATTCCTCGTCGAACGATGGTGATGGCCGAACGGTGGAAGAAATATTATCGTTTAAAATCGATCGAATGATCGGGATCGATGATCCATCTTGTATGAACAGATCTCTCTCGGTATGTATACTCACTCTCTCTTTCTCTCTTTCTTTCTCTCTCTCTCTCTCTTTCTCTCTCTATCTCGACGTACATGTTCACACACGAGAGCTTTTCGTTTGCTCCCATCGAAATCCGGGCACGCAAGCTTGATAATACCATTCGGTTTATTATTTGCAGAAACTGGATTATCCTCGTTGACAATGTGTACGGTTACGAGAAACAGCTGTCTACCTAGGAAATAGTGGATTAGCTTTGGAAACATGCGGTAATACTAACGCTGCGAAACATCGTGGTCCAAGAAAGTCGTCTTGCGTTCTTCTCTCTCTCTTTCTCTCTCTATAAAAGATTTATCATATAATTTATAGATCGACTAACAACCGACATAGAAAATATATGTACAATAAAATTTGATTCAACGAACAATCGGGAACGAAAGATCGATTGGCGCGATCGACTTTGGATCCCTACAACCCTTCTGTTTCCGTTTCTCTCTATACGCTAAAAAAAAAAAAATACGATTCGCTCGCTCACGTCGAATTCTAAAAAATCGTCGCCCCCTCCCGACGAATTTTCACGCTTTTCACGTTTAATTTCCCATAACCCGTTATATAATCACCGAAGGTGTTCCTTCCAACGGTGTACAACGCATCTGAGCACGGCCATTTCGTAGATAGAACTAATTTGGACATTATGAGCAAGGTCGTCTGCGCGGAGCAAGGCAATGGAAGATAATGTCGTTAGGCTGTGCTGCATTACACCGGGATTATCACGATTAATTACGCGCATCTGTACGTGTGTAGGCCGAATACGTAATATTCCATATAAATCGAGGCGAACGTTCCCCCCTCCTTTTTTTCCCCTCACTCCACGTTTAAGAGGCTTGGAGGGGAGGGGGTCAACGATTCATTATTGTTTCCCGAACGAGAAGGGCGCCGCGATCGTTTTCACACTTTTGTCATTCGCGCCTTTTTTACGAAATTACGTTGGCACAGGTTGGTTGGCAACCGGTGGGAACGCGATATTGTGTAGCGATCTCTCATCGTTCCCATTAACGCGACAAATTTCACGAGAGGAGAACGAGAGAAAGGGAGATAGTTAACACCGGTTGCAACCGAATAAAGTTGCCGCTACCAGGTTTGGTGAGCATCGTTGGAAAGTTTTGCCCGGTAAAATGCGACAGGATTATCGCCATTAATCGCGCCACTCGTCACAGGACAGATTACACAATTACGCTTCTACGGTCGTGATAGTTATACACGGCTTACACATTTACACATATCACAAACGGTGGTTAACAGTGGTGTCGGCGAATCGCGCGAAACGGCAACTTTTGAGCAAACACGTGCCGACACGCTTAACGAAACGTTTGCGAAATTTTTTATCGTTTGTTCTAAAACGAAGAGAGATTTTCTAATATCATCGGCGACGATTCTTTTTGGTCTTTTTTCGCGCGATGCATCGTTCGAAAGTACAAAGTACCACGGCCTTAAAGGATGCATACCCGGACCCGTTTCGTTATTTTACACAAATATTATCCTTTTGCTTCATTTTCTTTTTTCTTTTTCCGCACACATGCCGGTTGGTACATGCAGGCACACGTCATCCCTCTTCCTCACTCTCGATTCGACCCCTTAAGAATTACGTAACGTATCACGATAAAGTCGCTCACCTCTCGAGGATCAAAAATTGGTAGTTCTAGATCCAACCATAGTCTCTCGATGCAATCTCGTCGAAACAAACTGCACCTGTAATGTCGTAAAACATACACGCATACATACACACATACACGCATGCACGCAACTTCGACGAAATTTATTCTCCCTCTTATCCCCTTTAAATTACTCCCAACTTTATATCCGTTTTCGCTTTCGAAATATTATCTCAACGTTTATTTTTCTATATTTCGCACGACACACGTGGCGGGACACAATGGTCAGTTCGTGGTCGTGGAATGCAGCACGAGTTTCAACGTGGTGAACATCATCAATAGGGCGCTGCAAGCCATGACAGATGGAGACGATGCGATGCTGTGCTGCATCGCTGCTGGATTATCTCCTTTGAACACGTGCACCAGCACTCGCGCCGGTTGAGCGTTACTCGCCTCGCAGGTGTAATTTCCGGAATGGCGATCGGACGCACGGGGTACCTCCAGCCAACTCTCCCGTCCCACCAGATCTGTACTGACGTTCACCCCCTGATCGACGTCGTAGTTGATCATCCGGAAGTTATGGTACCAGAATAAATAGGAAGGCGTCTCGGTCGATTTTTTCACGAGGCAGTGAAGCTGCAGAGTGCTACCTGGCCTCACGAACTTCTCCGAGGGACCGGCTATCTCTGCTCTGGCCTCTGCAAATGGCGGAACGTGACACGTCAGACGTGACCAGCTTACCACGTCCATCCCATATTGTTTACCAGGGTCCAAGGTGGTTATGAGAGGTAAGGAAGGATGAGGCATGCATCGTGGCTGGTTAAGGATCGTACGGGGATAGCGTACCAAATCCCACTCGCGCTCTCCCTCTCGCTCCTGTATTCTTTCAACCATCGCAACCAAGAGTAACCTTTTCCCCTATCCCTCTCCCCTACAGCCTGGACACGATCTCCAGAATTTTAAGTTGCCCTTAAGCGTGGTCGCGAGCACCACGTCCCTCTCTCGACTAGCTTCGGGCCAACCATTTTTTCGCTCGAGTCGTCGTTGCTCTGCTATAACCGATCCACGCAGACTGACGCGACAGCCATGAGACAGCTGGTATAGGATCAGGTGTGACGGCACGTTGTAAACACGGAGCAAAACCTTCGCCATCCCTCCACCGGATACACTTTTGCCCGGCCGCCTTCGAACCCCGGCGACAGGGCTTCCGTTTCACGTCGTGTCACGGACCGACGCACGTGAACGGAGGTGTGGATCGAGTTTTAAGCGCTTCTCCCCGTGATACAACCGCGCTCTTTTGAACCGTCCACGCTCCAAG